ATTATTCACAGTATTTTTAAAAGTATCAACATTTCGTTGAATGACGGCGGTTTTTGGACGATCACTTCGAGGATTATCTTCCAAGGTATCTTCCTCATCTGAAAGTTGTTGAATCCATCGAACAACTGTATTATACGAAACATAACCTCGTTCAAGAACAGCGATCAACTCATTGTGAATTTGTGTAGCAGTAAAACCTAATAACAAAAGAGTTCTTAAATATGAACATGTGCACTGTTTTTTCTTTAAAAACAGGAGTGAATAATAAGTCTTCTAACAATACTCCATAATAGACACTTGTGACAGCTTGTATTGACGATTTCATACATCAGAAATATAACTGCTAGAGCAAGCCAACAAGCGAGACAGAAATAATAGGAAAAAATTGTTTGATAGTCGAACATTTTGTCGTCGTCGTGTTTGATTAGGGGTTTGACTCTAAGTGAATAGCTGAAGAAGTCTTCAATGATTAATTTGATAAGACCATTTACCAGATTTGACAACACCTAATCAGAAAATCTTCATAATCAAAGTGAAAAGTTTGAGTATATCCCCTAGGAGATTAAATGGAGCTGCTGTAATATTGGATAAGAGTTTTTGTATGTGGGAAGCAGGTGGTTCAATTTTCTGGGTATATACTTCAACGCCTCTTTCTGCATTTTGTCGTTTGTTATCTAGGTTGTCATGTTTAAAACTCTGGATAGTGTTGCAGCATTTTTATTATTATTAATTCTCTTCGTATTCATTTTCAGGTAAGTCTACAGAAAAATAAATATTTTTATTCTCTCTCTCTATCTCTCATCTTAATTACTCCGAGAATGAATATTTTTCGTTGTAACTTTCTCAAGTATATCTAAGTAGAACACAGCAAAGAATTTCTTGGGACCAATCGTAGGTATATAGCCCTTTTTTGTAATCATACACATTCACACGTTATTATATTCATTCTTTGTTTTGATTTCTCTTCTAAATTTGAATAGCGGTCTTGGTATGCATTTATTTGGTGGTGAATTTTGCACGCTTGACGCATTTAATAGAACATCACATGAACAAATTGATATGAAATGTCGGTGTTGTACATGTGTCGAATGGAATTTATTTAAAAATTCTACTGATCCCAAAGATTTAATATGTTTACAAGAGAGAACAAACTTCGATTCACTTCGATTTGCATTATTAACCGTATTTCAGGTATCATACAATATTAGTCAATAGAATTTTGTTGTTCAGGCTTGCATGCATAAGACTATTTCTCTATTCTCAGCTTTATTGTTTGCTTCTTTTTAGCACAAATATATCCCTCCTAGTAACAATTTCCTTTATCTTTTTGAATAATTCTAATTTGTCTAATATAAAATAGATACTGACACAAGAAGATTGAAATGAAGTACTTTATAATGGAATGAAAACGACAAGCCCATGGTCAGTATTATATTTTATTGTACTTATGATATTAGGCAATTATATATTACTCAATTTACTTGTTGCTATTCTTGTTGAAAGTTTTCCAAATGCGGTAAATGAACGTTTTTTTGTAAATATTTTATCATTATTTTATTTTATTTCGAAAGAAGATTATGCAACAAATAGTAATAATAATACGGATCGATTGAATAAAGCAGATTCATTTAAAGTAAGAAAAATAAAATGAAGAAAACATTGTAATATGTTTAAAAAATGTTTATTTTCAGACACAAGCAATTATCACAGATGATATTCAAATACCTGAGAATCTTGATGAATTGACAAGTATTGAACTTAGTAATGATGATAAGAAAAATGAGCGACGACAATATACATTGACTGATACTGTACCTCGTACAAATTCTGATCTAGCATTCCCATCGTCATCAACACGATATTTTATTGTTCATGAAGGAAATTTAATTGAACAAGAATCGAATAATATAACGAATAGACGTTTAAATTCAATTGTTAAACGTCAATCAACAATCGATGATCCATCATATTCACTTAATCAAAATGAATTGACACGTATTCATCAAACATCAAGAAGGCAAGAAAAAAATGATAGACACACAGAATCGCATACTAGTAATATAATACAACTTGCTAGTGGTATTCAACTACTGGTAAACGATCAAAATGACAAATGATTAGATGTATCAGCTGGAGATGATACACAACTGGAATTAACAACTCAAAAATGAAAAGTAAATAGTCATTTGAAAAAGATTCATGTATTATCACTTTCTCAGCAAACTCTAATACTTCATAGCAAAGATTTTGACTCTTGTGGCACTATTCGTCAGTGTTATCAAACAACGTGTAGGACATGTTAGTAATCGAGAAAAAAAACATCGAATCTATTCATATCTGTGTTGGAGATCAACCTAAAAAATTGTTTGTGATCGAGTTCGAGTTCAAAATTTTTGGAGATAATGAATGTACCGGGCGGATGTGGTTGACCTGAGTCAGAAAGTTTATCAAAATCAAAATCAAAATCAAAATTAATAATGAATATATATGTCATTCTCTTTTCTACATAAATTCTATTTTATTTTAGGTTACTCGATCATGTTTAAATCGATTTGGTGGACAACGAATATTTGAATGTTTAAAGAAGCGAGAAAACTATTCACTTTATCTTTTTTCACCTTGGAATAGGTAAAATTCTGTTCTGAGAATAATTCGAATAGAAAAATTTTTGATTCCATTTCCTTCAGTAGACTACGCAAAGTATTTCAACGATTAATTGTACAAAAAGCATTTGATTATTTAATTCTTTTCTTTATTGCTCTCAGCTGTATTACACTTGCAATGGAACGTCCATCGATTTCTCCTATAAGTTTTGTATGTAATCATTTAGTTTTTATTTTCAAGTTGAACGCTAATAATTGCAGTTATATTGTAGGAATGACAATTTTTGAACTGCACTAATTATATATTTACAGCTGTTTTTACTATTGACATGTTGATTATAGTAGTCGCAAGTGGACTTATTTTTGGACCTAATACATATTTACATACCGGCTGGAATGTTATACATGGATTTCTTGTAATTATTTCAGTTGTTGATTTTGGTAAATGAATCGAGGTAGTATTATATTACCGACAGAGCCGGATACAACATCACATATTCTGGGTATGTTAAGAGTCTTTCGTTTATTACGAACATTATGACCACTTACAGGTTGGAAAAGATTTTTTTTCTTTTGATTGATTTTCCCATTATATCGTTTTAGTTATCAATCGAACACCCGGTCTTAAACTTGTCGTTCAAGCTTTACTTTCATCATTGAGACCAATTGGTCATATTGTTATTGTTTGTTGTATATTCTTTATTATCTTTGGTAATGTTGGTGTTCAGGTAAAAGGGAGAAATACAGCTAGACATAAAAATGATTTTTCATTCCTATGAATAAAGTTCGATACTCATCTGTACTATAATAGAAATCTAAGGAAAAGTTTTACTGTACTCATTTTTCACGAGTTTTTAAGTTTCACTTAAGAATATAATGAGAAAATTCTTGTTTTCTGAGAAATGGCTGCTAATTAAAATTTAAGAATCAAAGTTTCTTCGAATATTGTGCATTTGTTTGAATGATCTTCCGCGTACGTTTTATATTCCAGAGATAGATGAAACGAAAATAAAAGAGTGTTGTTCATATCTTCTTTTCGAGCTCTCAAGCCAAACAACATGAAGTTTTTATTATTTCTTCCTGTAAAAATAATTCCATGTGGTAGAAATCTACAATTGTACTGTCTTATATCACACGATCTTGGAGTGGGAAAGAACTAATTCTAATGAATGGTGTCTGACCGAAAATCTTTAGAAATATATGAACCATGAAAGCGGAACTCGGCGGTGATTTATACTCAGTTTGCTTGAAAACTGGAAAGGCTTGTTGTCGAATTCCTACTTAAAGATCTCACAATATTTTGAGTTTACCGACTAGAATAGCCGACGTATTTCTCAAATTTGATATCAAAATCTTTGATTTTTGACAAGGCGGAGCATCATTTTTTTCATGCATTTTCACAAATTCTTCGATCTCATTATTTACTTTAAATTTTTTTTTCAGCTCTTCAAAGGTAAATTCTACTATAGCCAAGGTCCTCTCGCTCGTGATGTAATAACAAGACAACAATGTGAAGCTATGCCCGATCATCGATGGCAAAATCAACAATACAATTTNTAAAAAACGAAAATAAAAATCTTTGGTGACATACCCAACACGAATAATGCGAGTGAGGGTGATAAAATACACGTGTCTTCGCCTATAATTAGTAACAGCAACAATTCTAGACGCCATGTGGCTTCTAGCAAAGACATTATTACACGATATGCATAGTAGCGTCGGACATAGCTCGTCAATAGTTATCGATTGATATGAGAATTGGCTAGAAAAAATTATAGGAGCCTTACATGAATAAAAAAAAAAGAAATCTCCCATCGGGATAAATGCGAAAACGAAAACAAGGATGTTTGGACTCTGATAGTTTCCAAAATCTAGTGTTCCACAGTGCAGATTTTACTCATCTATTTACAGAATTAGATGAATATAGTAATAAAACATTATATTGATTTTTTTTTGTTAGAGATAGTCGGCAACAACTAATGTAAGTGTTCAATGACGATAAAAAAAATCGTTGTTGTTTTTTCGTCAGTAAATGCATGAATTTCTATCTTGCAGTATGTTTCTTAAGCTAAGGTATTGTTTGAGAATGGCATCTACGCTACCATGGAATGTATCTGAGATGATAGCTACGTATGTAATCAGTACTAATATGTGGATCATCATTCACAGTATCTTTAAAAGTGTCAACATTTCATTGAATGACGGCGGTTTTTGGACGATCACTTTGAGAATTATTTTCCAAGGTATCTTCTTCATCTGAAAATCCTTGAATCCATCGAGCAACTGTATTATACGAAACATAACCTCGTCCAAGAACAGCGATCAACCCATTGTGAATTTGTGTAGCAGTAAAGTCTAATAACAACCGAGTTCTTAAATATGAACGTGTGCACTGTTTTTTTCTTTGAAAACAGGAGTGAATAACAAATCTTCTAACAATACTCCATAATAGACACTTGTGACAGCTTATATTGACGATTTCATACATCATAAATATAGATACTAGAGCAAGCCAACACGCGAGACAGAAATAATAGGAAAGAATTGTTCGATAGTCGAACATTTTGTCGTCGTCATGTTTGATTAGAAGTTTGACTCTAAGTGAATAGCTGAAGAAGTCTTCAATGATTAATTTGATAAGACCGTTTACCAGATTTGACAACACCTAATCAGAAAATCTTCATAATCAAAGTGAAAAGTTTGAGTATATCCCCTAGGAGATTAAATGGAGCTGCTGAAATATTGGATAAGAGTTTTTGTATGTGGAGAACAGGTGGTTCAATTTTCTGGGTATATACGTCAACGACTCTTTCAGTATTTTGTCGTTTGTTATCTAGGTTGTCATGTTTAAAACTCTGGATAGTGTTGCAGCATTTTTATTATTATTAATTCTCTTCGTATTCATTTTCAGGTAAGTCTACAAAAAAATAAATATTTTTATTCTCTCTTTCCATCTCTCATCTTAATTACTCCAAGAATGAATATTTTTCGTTGTAAATTTCTCAAGTATATCTAAGTAGAACACAGCAAAGAACTTCTTGAAACCAATCGTAGATATATAACTCTTTTTTGTCATCATACACATACACACGTTATTTTATTCATTCTTTGTTTTGATTTCTCTTCTAAATTTGAATAGCGTTCTTGGTATGCATTTATTCGGTGGTGAATTTTTCACGCTTGAAGCATTTAATAGAACATCACATGAACAAATTGATATGAAATGTCGGTGTTGTGCATGTGTTGAATGGAATTTATTTAAAAATTCTACTGATCTCAAAGATTTAATATGTTTACAAGAGAGAACAAACTTCGATTCACTTCGATTTGCATTATTAACCGTATTTCAGGTATCATACAATATTAGTCAATAGAATTTTGTTGTTCATGCTTGCACGCATAAAACTATTTCCATATTCTCAGCTTTATTGTTTGCTTCTTTTTAGCACAAATATATTCCTCCTATTAACCATTTTCTTTATCTTTTTGAATAATTCTAATTTGTATGATATAAAATAGATACTGACACAAGAAGATTGGAATGAAGTACTTTATAATGGAATGAAAACGACAAGTCCATGGTCAGCATTATATTTTATTGTACTTATGATATTTGGCAATTATATATTACTCAATTTACTTGTTGCTATTCTTGTTGATAGTTTTCCAAATGCAGTAAATTCACGTTTTTTTGTAAATATTTTATCATTATTTTATTGTATTTAGAAAGAAGATGATACAACAAATAGTAATAATAATTCGGATCGATTGGATAAAGCAGATTCATTTAAAGTAAGACATATAAAATGAAGAAAAAATTGTAATATGTTTAAAAAATGTTTATTTTCAGACACAAGCAATTATCACAGGTGATATTCAAATATCTGAGAATCTTGATGAATCGACAAGTATTGAACTCAGTAATGATGATAAGAAAAATGATCGACGACAAAATATATTGACTGATACTATACTTTGTACAAATTCTGATCTAACATTCCCATCGTCATCAACACGATATTTTATTGTTCATAAAGAAAATTTAATTGAACAAGAATCGAATAATATAACAAATAGATGTTTAAATTCTATTGTTAAACATCGATCAACAATAGATGATCCATCATATTCATTTAATCAAAATGTATCGACACGTATTCGTCAAACATCAAGAAGGCAAGAAAAAAATGATAGACATACAGAATCGAATGCTAGTAATATTATACAACTTGCAAGTGATATTGAACTACCGGTAAACGATCAAAATGATATACAATTAGATGTATCAACTGAAGATGATAAACAACTGGAATTAACAACTCAGAAATCAGGAGTAAATATTGATTTTTATTTCAAATTCATTTCAAAGTAAATAGTTACTTGAAAAAGATTCATTTATTATCACTTTCTCAGCTAACCTTAGTACTTCAGAACAAAGATTTTGACTCTTGTGGCACTATTCATCAGTGTTATCAAACAACGTGTAGGACATGTTAGTAATAAAAAAAAAAGCATCGAATCTATTCATATTCGTGCTGGAGATCAACCTAAAAAATTGTTTATGATTAAGTTCGAGTTCAAAATTTTTGGAGATAATGAATGTACCGTGCGGATGTGGTTGACCTGAGTCAGAAAGTATATCAAAATCAAAATTAATAATGCATATATATGTCATTCTCTTTTCTATGTAAATTCTATTTTATTTTAGGTTATTCGATCATGTTTAAGTCGATTTTGTGGACAAAAAATATTTGAATGTTTAAAGAAGAGAGAAAACTATTCACTTTATCTTTTTTCACCTTCGAATAGGTAAAATTCTTTTCTGAGAATAATTCGAATAGGAAAATTTGTGATTCCATTTTCTTTGGTAGACTACGCAAAGTATTTCAACGATTAATTGTACAAAAATCATTTGATTATTTAATTCTTTTCTTTATTGCTCTCAATTGTATTACACTTGCACTGGAACGTCCATCGATTTCTCCTATAAGTTTTGTATGTAATCACTTAGTTTTTATTTTCAAGATGAATGCTAATAATTGCAATTATATTGTAGGAAAGACAATTTTTGAACTACACTAATTATATATTTACAGCTGTTTTTACTATTGAAATGATGATTAAAATAATCGCAAGTGGACTTATTTTTGGACCTAATACATATTTACATATCGGCTGGAATGTTATGGATGGATTTCTTGTAATTATTTCAGTTGTTGATCTTGGTACAATGAATCGAGGCAGAATTATGTCACCAACAGAGTCAGATACAACATCACATATTCTGGGTATGTTAAGAGTATTTCGTTTATTACGAACATTACGACCACTCACAGGTTGGAAAAGATTTCTTTTTCTTTTCTTTTGATTGGCTTTCTCATTGCACCATTTTAGTTATCAATCGAACACCCGGTCTTAAACTTGTCGTTCAAACTTTGCTTTCATCATTGAGACCGATTGGCCATATTGTTATTATTTGTTGTATATTCTTTATTATCTTTGGCATCCTTGGTGTTCAGGTAAAAGAGAGAAATGCAGCTCGATATAAAAAGTTCAAAATGATTTACTCTTAAAGTTGTTATACGACAATATAAAAATGATTCTTGATTCTTATGAACAAAGGTCCATACTCATCTGTACTATAATATAAATCTAAGCAAAAGTTTTACTTTACTCATTTTTTGCGATTTTTTAAGTTCCACTTAAGAATATAATGACAAAATTCTAGTTTTCTCAGGAATGGCTGCTATTTAAAATTTAAGAATCAAAGTTTCTTCGAATATTGTGCATTTGTTTGAATGATCTTCCGCGTACGTTTTGTATTCCAGAGATAGATGAAACGAAAATAAAAGAGTGTTGTTCATATCTTCTTTTCGAGCTCTCAAGCCAAACAACATGAAGTTTTTATTATTTCTTCCTGTAAAAATAACTCCATGTGGTAGAAATCTGCAACTGTACTGTCTTATATCACCACGACCTTGGAGTGGGACAGAACTAATTCTAATGAATGGTGTCCGACCGAAAATCTTTAGAAATATATGAACCATGAAAACGGAACCCGGCGGTGATTTATACTCAGTTTGCTTGAAAACTGGAAAAGCTTGTTGTCGAATTCCTACTCAAAGATCTCACAATATTTTGAGTTTACCGACCAGAATAGCCGACGTGTTTCTCAAATTTGATATCAGAAATCTTTCATTTTTGCCAAGGCGGAGCATCATTTTTTTTCATGCATTTTNAGTTATAACTTTCAACTTCATTAACTTTCTTAATCTTTTGAGCAGAATTAATTAAATTGAAATGGTAATTACTTTGATTTATTGACATCTTTGATAGAATAGATAGAAATACATATATTTGCAATGTTCTTTAATTCAGAAAAGCAATGTTTTATAAATCCTTATTCAGTACTTTTAATGTATTCATCTACAAGCTACATTTTCTTCTATCTATACATCGACCCGGAACATACTCGTAAATAAATATATTTTTCGTTATATGATTAATTATAATCTTAAGTTGTGAACAGCTGAGAATACTATTTAAAATAAATGTGGAAACCTCGGATTTAAATCCGAGAGTTATGTGTACTTCAAAAAGTGAATGAGACAGATGAGTCATCATAGAATGTGTGGACATCAAAATTGTCCTGGCAAACCTGTTCTATAAACACTTGATTTCTATTGGCTACTGCTGAACCAATAGGATTTGGAGACAAATACAGCTCAGATTTAAACTCTTCACCTTGATTTACCCTAAGAAACTCGTTTTTCCTATAACTTAATTTCTATTGGTCAATGCTCAACCAATGAAATTTCGAGGCGAACGAAGGACAGATTCGAGTTCTCCATCCTAGTCAACCTTCTTGTTTCTTTATGTTTTATATACCATTTTGTAGCTCTTGAAATTCTCTATCGAATGGTATATAATAGTTGGGGTTTTAGTTGACTATGATAGGAAAAGTTGTTTACGAAAGCGGGAATGGGTCGATCTTTCCATAGGGAAGGTATAGGAAAAAATGAGTATTTTTGCAATAACTCGGGAAGGGCTCGGCCAATCCTTCTCATCTTCGAACTCGACCGAGATATTGTTAAGACTGAACTGTGTAGAAAATTTCATCGCGATCTGACTCTCCTTTCAAAAGTTATCGTGTAAACGGACGGACGGCCGGACACACTGACCGATTCTAGAGTGTACTCACTTTTTGAGTACACAAAAAGAAACAACTCTATTTTTAATTTTAATTCTTTAACATAGTGGTATTAATCTACAATACATGTTGTGACGAAACTAAGATAATAGTCTCTGTCAAGATAATTACATACGTTTTATTTCAATTCGAAGTCATTGTATCAGCTTATTTTCTGTTCACTTTTACACAGTCATTACTACTTATATGAGTATGTATCGTATTCTACTTTTTCCTTCTTTTTCCACGTCTATATATAATTGAACGAAGAAGAGAAATGGAAGAATAAGAAAATCAATATGACAAGAACACAAGGAGATAGGTGATTGAAAGAAAAAAAAATACAATCATTATATTCTTTATCTCAAACATAAGGAGAAACGGTTGTAAAATTATTCAGGAAAAAGAAATGAATGATGTCATGTTGACGTTTGCGGCAGCATATCTTATTTATGGTCCTCCGTTTGACCAGTAGTTTGAATTAGTTCAAAGTTACGAGCAGTGCTAAGAGTTATGTTGATTAGTGACTATATTGAGACTGACTATATTTAATAGAATTTATGACTATAACTATGGTTAATAGTCATAACTACGGTTGGAAGTCGTAGCAATCGCAACTTCTTACTAGTTTTACTTTATTGTTCAAGTTTCAAAGACACATTTATATTTCGAAACTACATATGCTTGACTACTATATTTTCAGTGAAAACGGTTGTAATTCCAAGCTTTGTTAGCAGCTGTCAGCAGAGAAAAGAATCCTTAATGTTACTTCACAAAGAATAATTGTCTCATTCAGGCTCGATGTATAGATAGAAGAAAATGTAGCTTGTAGATGAATACATTAAAAGTACTGAATAAGGATTTATAAAACATTGCTTTTCTGAATTAAAGAACATTGCAAATATATGTATTTCTATCT